TGTAAGAATTTGGCTCATTTCTAAGACTTGTTTGAGACTTAATCATGACTTATTCTAAAGTGATACATACTCAATATAAAGAAATCAACCTAAGCAGGAAAACATACCATTGTGAGAATAAAAATCTACCATTGAACTAGAAATGATCATTCTTAAGTATTTGTGACCATCTTTCCAGTTTTCCTCTGTATATACACAGATGTAAGACTAGATACAAATATTTCAATAGGAGAATGATACTAGAGGAGCTAATGTTTCTTGGTTTTATCATTCTATGATGTAGGAAAGTGTATTAGAGACTGAATGATACTCTTAGCACAGAGAAATAATGGTAAAAATCTGAAGCTGTTTGTTCTTCTCATACAATGTGGATGGTGAAATGAAGGGTTAACTATAGAAGAGTTACTATATATAAATTATAGTATGTACTTGGTTATGACAGAGAAGGGATTATTTTTCAGTACTGGGGAATGAACCCAGGACTGCACGCATGCTAGGCCAAGGCTCTGCCATTAAGCTTTGTCCCTAGTCCAGAATGAATGACACTTCTTTCCTGTAATTTTTTATTTGTTCTAAATAGTTCTATGTGACAGTAGAATGCATTTTGACACATTCATAAATGGAGTGTAACTTTTCATTCTTCTGGTTGTACATGATGTAGTTACACAAGTCGTGTAATCATATATGCACATAGGGTAATAATGTCTGATTCATTCTACCCTCCTTCCTACCCCCATACCCCTCTCCTTTCTCTTCACTTTCCTCTGTCTTATCAAAGTACCTTTATTCTTCTTTAGCCCCTCACCCCCATTGTGAATTAGCATCCACATATCAGAAAATATTTGGCATTTGTTTTTTTGGGATTGGCTAATTTCATTTAGCATTATCTTCTCTAATGCCATCCATCCAAAATGCCACGATTTTATTCTCTTTTATTGCTGAGTAATATTCCATTGTATATATATACCACATTTTCTTTACCCATTCATCTGTTGAAGGGCACCTAGGTTGGTTCCATAGTTTAGCTATTGTGAATTGAGCTTCTATAAACATTGATGTGGCTGTGTCACTGTAGTATGCTGATTTTAAGTCCTTTGGGTACAAACCAAGGAGTGGGATAGCTGTGTCAAATGGTGGTTCCATTCCAAGTTTTCTGAGGAATCTCTATACAGCTTCGAATAATGGTTGCATCAATTTGTAGGCCTACCAGCAATGTATGAGTGTACCTTCCCCCCACATTCTTGCCAGTATTTATTGTTGCTTATATTCTTGATAATTGCCGTTCTGACTGGTGTGAGATAAAAGCTCAGTGTAGTTTTGATTTGCAGAATGAATGATACTTTTTGAGAATTTTTATACAGAATGTTTTATTTAACAAAGTGTCTCCTGACATTTGCAAGATTGGTTTTTAAAGACTTATTGAGTTAAGAGGACAAGTATGGGGCCAAGTAATATAATTCCTGTACCCTGTGCCTGTGATGGACATTGCTAATGAATTATAATATCTTTATTTGGACATGGAGATTGCTGCAAAATTCTTACAGTACAGTACTAGAAATGGCCAATATAACTGTCAAAGATGGTACTCAAGAAGGAGTACATTCTATCACTGCTCTAAGATTTTTGCTCAAAAGGAGCTGCCCATGAACTTTGGACCCCCTGTGTAATTTCTTCAGACTCCCAGGAGGCTTTGAAACAAATATATAGGGGGAAAACATAATATATAGATATTTCTGCTGTGGTTAAAAGTAGTCAATATACATGAAAAGTCCACAAATGAATAAATGCTACACCTATTAGTGTATCAGTATAATAACCAAACTAGATCTTCCAAGTATATTTTGAAATTTTCAATAATCAATGGGTTTCACTTTTAAAATTTTTGAGATAATTGGAGATTATATGCAGTCATAGGAAATAATGTAGAGATCCTATGTACTCCTTTACCCTGTTTCCCCTAGTGATAATAGTTTGTGAAACTATAGTACAGTATGACAACAGATACTAACACTGATTCAGTCAAGATGTGTGATATTTTCTTCACCAGAGGATCCCGCTTGTTGCTCTTTTATAGTTACACTCACTTCGTTTCCACTCTTTATCCCTTTCTTAACCCACTGGCAACCACTAATCTTTCCTCCATTTGGAGATTTTTTGTAATCTTAAGAGTGTTGTCAGAGGGATCACACTGTAGGTAACTTGGAACAAGGGACAGAAGGGAGATTCTATTCATTGCAAGGAAATCCTCACATATCAGTGAGCCACAAATGCTTAGAACCCAGGAAACTTCAACTGATCACCCTTAGCCAGTCCAGTCTCCATCAGGAACTGGCATATGTTTTTGTTCTGGCCACCCTTACCTTATCCATACTCTTGGATGCTCAAGCACAATACCATTGCAGGCAAATTTCTTAAACACCTTCACGAGTTTTTAATCACTAATCATAAGCAATCCCTTGGACAGTAGTATGGGTCATCTTGTTTCTCTGTGGAATTTTTTTAAAAAAATATTTTAATTATACATGGACACAATATCTTTATTTTTATGTGGTGCTGAGGATCAAACCCAGTGCCTCACATGTACGAGGCAAGTGCTCTGCCACCGAGTCACAACCCCAGCCCTCTGTTGAGTTCTTATATGGCTATGATCCTCAGTGCCAGAAGGAAGCAGTTCATCATTCTCACTTGTATCCTCAAAGGGGTCAAAAGAGTGGAGGTTCTGGATAGTAGACATAAGGATAAGATTTCTTTTCCTTGGTGCAAACAGCCTGCAGAAAGGGGGCTGTGGGAGCCGGCTGTGAGGTAGGAGACCAAGAGTTTTGGAGAGGGAGGCTGCTGAGTCCTTGGGGGCAGCTCAAGTGACTGTGTCTTTAAATTGGGGCATTTGATCCATTTACTATCAAAGTCATTACTGATAAGTAAAAGAATACTTCTGCTGTTCTGTTTTAATTCTTCTGGTTGTTTTACAGATCCTTTGTTTACTTCCTCTCCTTTTGTTCATCTCTTGAGGGGATAGTTTTCTGTGTTGATAATATTCCATTCTCTCTCTCTTGGGTATCTGCTCTACTGTTGGATTTTATAGTTCCCTGTGTTTTCATGATGGTAGGTGCCACCCTTTGTCTTTTAATTTAGGACTCTCAAACATTTCTTGTGGACCCTCTGGAGGCTATACATTTGCACTAGTTTTGGCTTTTGCTTGTCACTGACCTTTATTTATTTCTGAAAGATAGCTTTGTTAGGTGTACTTGGCTGGCATTCCTCCCACCCCCTGCCCCAGGACTTTGAATGGCCCATTCCATTCTCTCCCAGCCTCTTTGCTTTCTGCCAAGAAGTTTAATGGGGACTACCTTACAAATGGCTTGATAATTTTCTCTTCAGCATTTTCTCTTGTACTATTGACAGTTTGATTATAATATGCTCAGAGTGAATCTTTTTTGATTGAATCTATTAGGGGTCCTTTCGGCTTCCTGGATCTGGGTGCTTATGTTTTCCCCTAGATTTGGAAAGTTTTCAGTGATTTTCTCATAGGTTTTTTTTTTTTTTATATATACCTTTTCCTTTCTCTTCTGGAATACCCATAATGTAAATGCTGTCTTGTTTAATGGTGTCTCATAAGCCTTGAAGACTTTCTTCATAAAAATTAAAAACAATCATCTGATGGGGTTATTTCAAAAGACTTCTCTTTAAGCTCAGAGTTTTTTTTTTCTGCCTGATTGATTGTGCTAGTGAGGCTCTCGACTATGTTTTAAATTTCATTTATTGCATTTAACTCTGGATTCTCTGTTATGAACTCTGTTTCTTTGTAGAATGTCTTGTTCATATCATGAATTGCCTTCCTAATTCTGTTAAATTGTATTCTCTTGTATATCATTGTTTCCTTAAAATGATGTTTTTGAATTATTTGCTAGGCATTAGTTGATTTCTTTTATTAAATTCTAATTAGTTATACATGACAGTAGAATGCATTTTGACACATCATGCATAAGTGAAGTATAACTTCTCATTCTTCTGATTGTACATGATGTAGAATCACACCTGTCTTGTAATCATATATGTACATAGGATAATGATGTCCAATTCATTCTATTATCCTTCCTAGTACCTCTATTCTATTCCGTAGCCTTCTCCGTTTATTGTGAATTAGCACCCACATGACAGAGAAAGCATTTGACTTTTGGTTCTTTGGGATTGGCTTATTTCACTTAGCATAATATTCTCTAGCCCCATCCATTTACCTGCAAATGCTATAATTTCATTCTTCTTTAAGGCCGAGTAATATTCCATTGTGTG